CATCTCAACGATAGGGAATTTACTTTTCCAGAGCAAATGACAAGTGAATGCAGAAAAATTTCAAAGCCTTAGAGCTAAAAAATAGAGTAAATTTGAAACAAAATTAGAAATGCACATATGCTTAAAAGTACCAAAGGAAAAAGTTATAGAGAAAAATGCAATTTAACTCTTAAGGCCAATAGAATGAAATGGAGAATTAAGTCTGATCTCGGTGGTGGCTTTTTATTCTGCTGATGGCAAAATCAAGGCAGACATGGATAGTCGAAATAAAACAAATGCTCATAAATCTGCCAGCATCGTATATCTTCACTAGGAAAATTAATAAAGTGGAAATGTTTAGGTTTAAGAAGAAATGTCTTTTTAGTTTCCATAAAAGAGCTAGCACTCACCAAATTTCTATTTTTGTATGAAATGGCATCATCTCTATGAGAAGATATTTATTTTATTACTGTTGTACCTTTTATTACTGTTTCTTTTGTTATTGACATATCTCTCAGCCCATATTCTTTATTATACATTTCTTCAACAATGCTTATTTGAACCCTCTCTAGGCTCTTCGGGTTACCTGCCATTCATATCCTTTTGATTAGTAGAATTAGTATTGGTCAAAATGAAATTTGATACATACGACAATTTTTCTAAGGCATTCTTTTGTCTTTTTAAGCTATAAGACTAGGTTCCTAAGCTTCCTTGCTGACTAAGCCCTCTCCAAGATTCTGGGACTCTTCTTTTTGCCTGCAGACAAAGAGGAAACTAAGTACACCAAAGTCAAGAGCACTTTAGAAGCAGTTCAGTACAAGCCCTTCTCATCCTTTCTCTCGTTCTAGTTCCTCGGTGTGGCTGATCACTCACCTAAAGCCATTTTCCTCCTCCTGGGCACACAGCTAGATCACATTCTCCTTTATATCTGTCATGGCTAATGTTCCATTTCCCAGCTTCAGCCATGCCACTGAGTTCTGGCCAGATGCGCGTGACTAAAGTTATGTGTGTCACTTCCATCCCTGGCCCATGAAAATCTCTTACTCACTTAGGTCTCCCTTGCTTAGCTGCTGTGTGCAGATGGATATGATAACCTTGAAATCCTCATGATAAAACTGACAGCCTCAAGATGGAAAGCGTATGGGTTTCTGAATCTCTGCTTGAAGGAGAGGCACTCATCAATCAGAAACATTCATTTAAAACTTAAGTGGAAAATAAAATTCCCTTATTAAAAAAACACCAATATTGGGTGCTTAATATATTACGGTGGCTATAATTACCTTATTAAAACCAAGACATGCACTCCTGCAATAAATTCCAGTCCTAATAATTCGATCCCTGCCTTGTCTCTGTTTACTGGCCCTAAATCTCCATAGGGCCCTGCCTCCATAGGGCCCTGCTCCATAGGGTCCTGCCTTCTCTCTCAGTCCTTCCAGAAATTGAGCTCTGCTCTGGGAACCTGATCCATGTAACAGGCACTGGATGAAGCTTCTAGTGTGAGGATCAGACTAGAGCCGGGTGCTTTCTTCTTACCTGAACACAGGTTCCGGAACGCCATCTGCTCTTTTGGGATTGTGTTGCACACCTGTCCTCTCGATCCCTGTTGGCATGTGCCTGATTCCAGAGAGAGTTGCAGCATCCCCAGCTTGGGTTATTACATCTCCTCGTGGTCATATAAGCATTTCACATTTTTAAGGTTTTCCTGCTGTAGAGGAAATGGATTCTATGTTGTGCTATAAAATTAAATTGACAGAATTATTTATTTAAACTGGAAAATAATACATACGAGGAAGAAAGTCTCTCAGATAGTTTTCAAAACAGAAAAAAATTACAATCTTTTACATTTATTGAATAAATTGCAAGGCAATGGATGAAATCATAATCAGCATTTAATTATCACAAGATTGGTGAGATTTCAGCTTCCTATGACAAGTGATTACTAATTCAGGTAGACAAGTACATTTCTGTCTCATAAACATCTCAATGAATGAAGAGCTCTGGAATTGGTGTCCTTGCTAGTCCCTCCTACACTGAATCTAGACTGTCCCCACATGCTCTGTAGAACACAGCACAAATGATGCTCCATGACTTCTGAGCCTAGGTTGGAAGAAGCCCTACCGCGTCTGCCTTGCTCTTTTAAAACACATGTGCTGGAAGATGCCAGTCCCCAAGAGAAGTCTAAGTACCATGAGACCCCCACTTCCTCTCCTGCGGAAGCTGGCCCTGTAGAAAGAAAACAAAGGAAGAGCTGATCTTGCCATCTCAGCTGAAGTGCCAGGCTTCTGAGTCACTTTACCCATCCTGCCCCAGGCACACTCTGAGTCACGTTACCATCCTGCCCCAGGCACACTCAGATTGCATCCATATAAAAAATGCTAGGCAAGACCTGCCCAACTGAGCCCAGTCAATGCAAAGAATCATGACAAATAATAATAAATCATTTTAAGCCACTGAATTTTGAAGTGGTTGGATACACAGAAGTAGATAACTGGATAACAGGCCAACAATTCTTTTAAAATATCAAAGGACACTTACAAATATAGCAAAGTTCTTTATTATTCAGTAAATGCTATATTTTTTCTTTTCCTCTAGATGCGTTCTGAATAAATTGGAAAAAAATAAGTAGCAAATGGAAGCCAGCATATCATCTTCATTATTAATAAAGGCTAAGGTGGAGGTTTCATGGGAGCCAGCTGAGTTTTGTGATACTTAACAGCTACATAATCCACTCTGTCACAGGCAACTGGACCAGGGCAACCATCTCCACGTGGAGAGGACTTCTTGAGTAAGTCTCATGGCACGGAAACAGAAGAGAACTTGTGGACAAGTTCACAAAGATTTGCTTTTAAGAGGAACAAAAAGGAATTTGTACTTCCCATGTTACCAGTCAAATAAGTCACTTACCCAGGTGAGGAAGTTCAGTAAGCAGGTGTTGTTGCACCGATTCGCGCCCTCCACCTGGAGGGGCAGCTAGGAGAAAGGAAAGCTAACCTCCAACAGGAAACAGATCTGATAAAAACTGGCTATGGATAAGCATTGCCCTTTGAAACTTTTAAATGATCTTATCCAGTACAACGCCCAAGATCTAAGTCTCATAATTTTTATTTTTTCGTTGCTCATCACTGAGTATAAACAAGGTATAGCAAATGCAAAATAAGTTACCAATAATAAGTTACATTCCAAGGTTCTTGCCATCCTAGATCAGTTTTATAACTCCAGTGAACTTTTCCGCATCATAAACAGCTTCAGGAAATTCAAGAGACTGGGGGCAAATAATAAAATCCAAGGTTCTATTTTGGCTAGAGCAGAGAAAATACCTTAGTGGTGCCATGAGTGAGTGGAAGATAAGACAGTAAAAACAATTTTTTTTGGAAAATGGATTTGTCTAGGGTTATTGAGAATGTAAAATTTAACTAGGTGGTCATTAGAACTGCATGAACGGAAATGATTTACTGGTCATTTAAGAAATGGAGACTTTGCATATGGTTATTCCCTAGGTTGTAGGTTTTAAAAGAATTACATGAAAATAAGAATTTCGTGTCATTAATCATTTATCCGAATGCACATTTTACGTCACTCAATAGTAAGTACACGTCAGCTTCGTGGAGAAAGAAAGATAAGAATGAATGGTAAGAGGTATTGCAAGAATATCGATAGCCTGTGAAGACAGAACCAGGACAATTTCCATTCTACATATGCCTATGATTGACATGGATTTAAAGGAAGGGTGCTGTCTTTGCTCTTCAACTTTTCATATGGAAATTTTACCCTTGATTTTCATCAGTATTAGATTTGATCGGCTCTTTACATTAACAAGAAAACCTCTTGCAAGCCATAGATTTATTTAATACACTGTAGGTTTATTCAACTTCCCATAGTTGTATTTCACTCAACAATATACTTATATTTCATCATATAAATGACTGCTCTGATAGTTCTCTTACTCCCTCATGGCCAACAGCGAATGTAACATTACTGACATGGTTGATAGTTAGAAAAGATAGTTAAGGACCGACTACTTATAGCTTGAGTACTGCTTTTACGGCTCCCAGGCCAAGCATAAAACCGAGCAGTGAGCGCTTCTTTAGTAGCATGACAAAAAATAGAAAAGAAGGAAAAGGACTGAGCTGCGGTGCCTGAATAGCTCTGGGATCTGGGAACAGGGATGAGGATGGCCTTTGCGACCTCGAGACCACCATGAAGCAGATAATATCTTAGAAAGGGTGAGATGGACAAATCAAACTATGAAACTATCACCATATGCAGACACCATAGAACAGTAACCCGTTTATAATCAGTGAATTCTGGAGGAGGCTCAGAGTTATCGTGAAGAGTCTGTGAAATCGCATGTGCACTAAACATTTTCCATATGCTAAATGATGAGAATGAGCCATGCATGCACTTACTTTCCCAAAAACGTAGATCTTATTTGGATTAATAAATACATTTGTACTTTTTTACAGCTTTTAAAATTTATATTATGCTTTTTCTCAGGGAATTCTAAAATCTAGCTGATACAAAGGAGAATCTGTACAACTGTTTAATGTGAGACGGAAAAACAGAGTCTCTACACTCAAAAGTATTTACATTCTTTTCTTCCTCACTTTTAGCGTGCTGTCCAGCCCCAGCTAGTTCACGTCCACAGAATAGATGAACACTCTATGCAACAAAAGCATGTTTTCTTGAGGGAGAATGGTGACTCAGGGAGAGCATCATTAAGCTGGAAATGAAGCCCTGAGGTGAAAAAAAAAAATGTTCTTTTTAGAATTCCAGGCCAACCGTGACCCAATCTGTGTGATTTCACTCGAGTCTGCAGAAAATAGGTGTGTCTGTTCGGGACAATCTATAGACAGAGAGCAAAAGAAATGCATTAAGATTTCCAAGAGATCCTCAAGGAGTGATTGTCTCCCTTGGCTGCATATTAGAATTACTTGGGGGAGTTTTTTTTAAATTCCGGATGCTCAGGCTGCACATTAGGTCAATGAGATCAGAAGCTGGGTTGGGCTCCGGGCAGAGGTTGGATTAGGTCGGGAAGCAGGCTTCCGTCATTTTTACAGCTTCCAAGTGATTTCAGTGTGCTCCCAAGGCTGGAGTTGGCTGCTCTGAGGTCTTAAAGATTGGGGAAGGGTGGGGAGGGGTATCACATTATGGGGTACCTGATAAGCTTCTCAAAGGGAAAACATGCTTAAAAATTTTACAACTGCAGCCTGTTACTCAATCACCTAGTCTCTCGAGATAACAGGATTTGTTGGTTTGGCACGAGGAGTTGTTATGGCCTCTGAGGAAACATCAAGCACAGCTCACCGTTTCCATAATCGCTTTGCCTGGGCTCGAGTCCAAACATGCTCCTTTATTTTGCCTTACGTCAGATGTGGCGCACCAGGGCCGGATCTACATCTGCTGCTTCATGGAATCCAATTTTATTTTTAAGCCTCCACGACAGCCTCACCGAACCATCGCACGGCTGTTGGCTGGAATTACCTCCCTGCATATATCTAGGTGAGTTGTTTTTCTCCTATTTTCTGAAATTATTTCATTGGAGTACAACCCAAGTACTTGGAAAAAGTTTTCATCTAGTAGAATCTTAATATTAATACATATTTAATGAGTGTTCCCTGTATGCAAAGCGTGCTGTGATGTGCACATGATAAAATTTGAGTTAAGATGACATGAATCTTCCTCTTAAGTAGGTCACACTATAACGGGGGTGACCAAAAAGTAAAACATGTAAGCAAAAAAAAAAATACATTGACACAAATTCTCAATTTTATGAAGACATTCTGTGGAAAGAAGTGGGTAACTTATGAGGAAAGGAGGAGATGGGACACAAGTTATGGTGACAATTAAACTTAGTCTTTTTAACACTGTAGCTTTTTTACTGATTAATGAATTTACATAGAAAAAAATTGGAAACATAAAAATGTGTAAAGAAGATAAACAAAATATTACTAGTAATCTCACAATCCAGATTAAACAGATATATTTCATATATACATATGTACATGTGTATATAGTTGTGAGTATATGCATTATGTTATGCGTACATATTATATATAGGTATACATAAATCACACATTAATATATGTGTGTATATATACATGTAGGTAGGTGTACATACATAATATATTTAAACATACAATTGTATATTACATATACACATATATTATATACTTATTTATTTGTACATGCGCCTAAAAATTAATGTATTACACATGCACATACGCTACTGCCATATCTGCGAGAAGCTACAGAATGGCACCCCCTTCACTGTCCAGGTTCTTAATCAAAAATAAAGAGTAGAAGATTGTAATGCCTTTACTGTTGATAAAGACTAAGTTGGAGAACATAGCTCCGTGTGAGAAACCAAAGGGTCAGCTAACTGAAGTCCAAAATGACGCACTTACCCGCCCAGCCACACTTCTGGATGTGGAGAGACCAAGCTCCAGTAGGGGCTGGCTTGGCGCTGGAGGAGCAGAGTGGAATTTAAGCTCTCCGTAAGTAGGCTGGCTCTCCAAGAGGAGAACAGCACAAGCCATGTTTAGTCTTTACAAATTTACAGATATATGTAATTATTATGCAGTATATATGTAATAACATTACATATACTATATGTAACATACATGTAATTACAAATGTATATGATGTAGAGATTCAATGTTGTATTATTATTCTCATTTTCAAACCGAAGTATGTCTAGCTGGGTTGTTCTATAGAGGATATCAGAAATTTTGCAATGAGATCAAATGGTAGCAGTATGTTACTCCAATCATAAAACGCATAAAAGACTTTCTGTTCATGAAATTCCAACAGTAAAGAAGCCCTAATTTTATCTTTAAGCCCTCTGCCAATATTACATTTCTAGAGAAACATTAAATTCAAAGAATAAATACTCTTGCAAGTTAAATCCAAATGACATGAAGTCCAAAATCAAATTCCTTTGACTTTTCAAAATAAAGTCCAAAAGTCATTTTTCTCTAATCATAATTGTGCTCGGTTTAGTCAGAGGAGTTCACTGCCTCTGGAGTCAGTTGTTCTTTCAGCAACTGCAGCCTGGGATGGGCGAGGATCCTTTAGGGCCTCAGAAATTCTGAGTTCAATATCAAGACTAAGCATTCTCACTCCAAACAGGACTCGTAAAGTAACCCTAATCCCAGACTCACCAAATTTCGAATACAAGCCAAACTCCAGCCCTTAGAGCAATTATCCTTGGAAACAATCCTGTGCCTTACACCCAGCATGCTGGTCATCAAAGGCTATCCCTCTGACGTTTGAGGAATGATGGCCACATATAGTATATGTTACATATAGTATATGTAGATGGCCACGACCTTTGCTTCTGCTTGGCAGGTTTGCCAGCCAGTCTGCTTTTCTGGAATCCACATCCTGTGAACTTAATTGGTAGGAGCCTCTCAGCAAATGACCAGTTCTGTCACTATGAATTCACCAGATGTGGTGTAAGAGGTGGGGAGTGGGGGGAGGGGTAGCGACATCTAGAAGCCTACTGTCTCCTCCTGGGGATGGTTTGACGTAATGTCAACATCTTTCTTTGCAATGGCAGCAGCCCCTCCCCCAAACCAGGTGTTATTGAAGAATCATTTTTTTTCTCACTCGATTCATTCAAAACCTCCTAACTTCCATTTTCCTTTAAGCACTCCCTTCCTGAGGCAGAGCTCTATTCTGTGCCGGTGTGTAACAACACACTTTCTTTGCCTCTTGGAATGGAATTAATTCGGTCTAAAAACACGCTGCCTTCTAGAAAAGGATTTCACCTTAGAGCCACGTTTGTTTCAGCTGAAAAAGCTCCCTCAGAATTTCTGAGCTGAAGCTGCTATGGAGACTGTTGGAGGCGGGTGCCCCTGACGTCCAATGGCTCAGCCATGTGGTCTGGACAATCTCCTTCTTTTCTGTCCCATCCCTTCCTTGGGCACTGTGATATCCACGTGTCCAGCTACAATAATTATCATCTTGAAACTCACCCCAAGCACTTTTTTTCTACTATTTTCATTTTCTATGACTGAGCCTTTGGACAAGATGCAAATTTAAGGTCAAGGGCCTCACAGTTTTGACTTGTGCCCTGAATGCACAATAGAGTGCCACTTACTGCCAGCTGAGGCAAAAAAAAACCTTAAGCCTTAGTCACATGTTATTTTAACAGTTTAAAGCTAGAAGCTCCCTTGCGTTCCGTGGCTCATGTGTAACCTTGCTGACCTGTGATATACAGGCAGGTAATGGTCCCACTTTAGCTTAGCCGGTGATACCAGGCCAAGCTGCGCCTGCATCATAATAAACTACAGCAGCCTGCAGCCTTAGGTCTTAGCACCAGCCAGAGGTACTGCTTTGCTGAACCCTTGCTTTGCATTACAAGTTCAAGGTCAAAGTGCAGGAATTTGTACTCTCAGGCCATCTGTGTTGGCTAAAGGCCCATGCCTTTGGCTCTATCTCTGCAAAAAGTCTTTTAGGGTCAGAACCACAATAAGTTGCATCCTTGGCAAAGTCAAAAGTACCTAGCGACTAATGCTTAAGGACTCTTAGCAAGGTGCCAGCAGTTAAAAGCTAACTTTGCAAGTTGTAAACCTACCTGGCCTCCTATTCATGTTAAAACTTTCTGCCCAGAGACTAAATACTAGGGTCACTCAGAAGTTCATTCCACATGAGATTTGCTTTCCAAATTCTTCTTGACTCATTTCTCAATGTTCTCATTCACGAAACATACCATATATATATCTATATCTATCTATCTATCTATCTATCTATCTATCTATCTATCTATCTACCTATCTACCTCAAATTTAGTAAAATATATATCAAATTTAGTAAAATACATATAATATGATTTAATAAATTGTAATAAATAAAAACAAGTACTTGACATACAAAAGAAAATTATACATATCAAGTATTTATTTATTTTACTAAATTAGATCATACCATACAGAGAAATATGTATTTTGTGTTCATACATCAGAAATATTTAAAAATATTTCCTAATATCATTATTACAAATTTTTAAAAATTAAACATGTTAAATCACAATGCCCCTGAACCTGGTGAAAACAGTAAGTGATACAGTAAAGCTTTATGAAGGGTTCATGCTCTTGCCCATCCTCCAGTTTGAGTATCTGGAAGCAACCGTTTCTTATTCCTTTAGCTGATTCTTTTATTTACTTTTTATTTTTTAAATTGAAATGTAATTGACATATAATACTATATTAGTTTCAGCTATACAACATAATAATTCAACATTCATGTGTCTTGATCACAATAACAAATCTAGTTAACATCTGTCTCCATAGTTATAGTTATGCATTTTTTTTCTTATGAGAACTTTTAAGATCTACTTTCTTAGCAACTTTTAAATATGCAATTCAGTATTATTAATTATAGTCACCACGCTGTGTATTCCATCCCTATGTCTTATGTATTTTATAGCTGGAAGTTTATACCTTTTGATTCTTAGCTGATTCTTAAATGATTCTTTTTGTTGTTCTTTCCTTAGTTCCTGAATACTGTCTTGTACTGCTATTTTTCAATTATTCGATTTCGAGTTATTTATTTACTCTTTAGTCTTTTAATCCATCAACCTCCTAGTATAGTTAAATCACTATTTTTAATTAAATCAATAAACTATGTAAATGTAGTTTACTTGAAAGCCAAATGGGTTATTCTTTTGCAGGTTTTCGTTTACTAAGAGTTTCTATTTTTTTTTTTTTTTGCCCGCTATGTACTTTATCTTAGTATTATATTTAAACTGTTTATCAGACGTTTAATGGAGTGTTTGTTTCTCTTATTTAGTTCCCACGGAACACTCTGTTCCCTATCTGTCATCTGAACAAGTCTTTTTAGAATGGCTTCGAGGGGGTCACCCTGGGACTTGCTCTTGGGTAGGAAGCCTCTTGTCCTAGAACTTTCTTGGATTACTATCTTATTTTGCTAGAGCAAAAAAAAAAAAAAAAAAAAGTGTGGGAAGTGATATTTCTGAAAACAACTCGTCTGAATATGTTTGTTCCAAACATTTGAAAATTTGGCTAGACATAGGATTTTAGCTCCAAATCTATTTCAGATCTCTGAAAGCTTTGCTCCACGACTATCCGACATCAGTGTTATTCCGAGAAGACTGATACGAACCTGATCCTTCCTCTGTGGATGACCCATCTGTTTCTCTCTGGAAACTATTAGAACCTTGTCTTCATTTTTTTGGTTCTAAAATTACACAAATACTTTGTCTAGGAAAGGAACTTTTTCATACATCTATTTGTCACTTTGCAGGTACTTTCAATCTGGAGACATGTCCTTCAAGTCTAGCAAATTTTCTTGAGTTGATTCTTTGATATTTTACAAACTTCTCTTTTCTCTGCCTTCTCATTATGAATTGCTATTAATCACATCAATATTGATTATTTGTTAGTCAATAAACAGTTTCACAAATGAGGTGCAAGTGCTTGGTTTGGATGCTTATCTTGGATCTGATAGAAATAAATTCCTAACAGTTTTTTGGATGT